CATACGTACACTGTTTTATCAGCTGAACAGATAAGTTACAAAACATCTTGAAACCAATACGCTTCTTGTACAAATAAAGTTTTATTGTTAACCTAGAGTCCTATGCTACTTAAATACTAGAGTCTCATCCTCAGGACCACATAGTCCAACGAAGGAGCCTTAGACCTTGTACACAAGGTTAATTAATCGGATTGGAATTACATTCATGGTGGCAGCATTACATACCCAGAGAGAGAGAGAAATAATGAGAGAGAAAGACACACTGTATCTAGCCACACGATTAAAACAGAGTACTCGTGACACTTGTTTTATCTATCTTAATTTTTATGCCTGGCGGGGAGGGCAGAGTATAAATCGAACAAATAAATAAATAAATATGAAATTAAATGTGTTCCTGGGAAATGACGTTGTGGTGGCTGACAATACAGAGGAAGACTAACAATTGATGGGTATTATATAAAGCTCCTCCACAGGACAAGCTCTGGCATCAAGAATATAGGACATGCAGAGAATAATGATACCATTAATAAATAGAAATTAATATTCTCCTTTTGCAGAGAATCAGGATCCATCTTTACTGGATCAATTTTTTACTTCAAAAGGCACACTAGACTTGGACTCTCCTTTCTTGAATGAGATTTTGAGTTCTAAACCTGGCCCTTAATGGCTGTTGTAGGTGGCGTGCATCTCATACTGTGACAGCAAGGAAATAGGATTTTTAACACATTTTTGGAGGGGCATGGCAATGCTTTCATAATGTTGGCTGAAGATACATTTTAACATGTCTAACAGTTTCAAAAAGGCAACAAAATCCATGTTTGTCACTTAATCCCTGTTTGTTGATGTGGCATTGAGTGTCCCAGGAAAAGGGCACAATTAAGAGAATAAAATGGCAGTAGCTGAACTCTATTCTGCAGCCCATCCAAATGTAACTTAAACTGTAGAACCTTAGAAACAGCTATAATACAAATAAAATCAGCACTATGAATCAAAACCTAAAAAATATAACTTTTCATCCCCCTGAAGAAAATCAGTATTGAGGAGATGGTTTACTAAGCCAGTCTCAAAGAATCTCCAGGAAAATACCACCTCTGGACTGCCATCAATGAGGAATACTTTTTTTAAATAGAGTTTTAAATTACTGTTATTTAAAATTAAAATAGCGATACAGAAAAACAAGGGAAAAGGGGAGATATGAGAGAAGATTTTATTGTATTTAGCCATTTGCCATTACAAACGGAAAAGGGGAGATATAGATATTATAATAGTCTATAACTTAATTTTAACAAGGACGCTCAACATCAGAGTAAATATAGAACATTTAACATAAACTTTTAAAATACGTAGTATTAGGAACGTTTTTACATACTGTATACATTTATTATTTAAGCCTAGCCTTTATTACCACTAGTAATGAGGGGGTCATTTGAGTCTCCAGGTGGAGGAATCATCAGAAACCAGCTGTGTCTACTGAGCTTACCTCCTGCAAAGTCAGCATGTGGAGAAGGCCCATTCAAAAGGATCTCTGGCTATGTTCAGGTTCATATGAAGGTAGACCAGTGTTTCCCCAACTTGTGGATCAGGATCCAGAAGTGGGTCACCAGCCAGCCTCTTGAATAGCCCCTTTTATCATTCTTTCTCTCCTCATCCTCCCTGCCAACAGCTCACGTTCTCCCTTTCCACTTCCCTTTGCGACAATGAGGAAGAGAAATCATCCGGCAGCTAGTGACTTTAGCAGATGGACAGAGGGGGAAACAGATGCCACTTGCATGGGGGGGCAGCTGTGCCCTTTGTGTGATGTTTGTGGGAAAATGCAATGCTGGACTAGATGGGCAACAAGGTTGTAGTCCACCTCAGATGCCCAAAAACCTGGAGCTGGCTCTGGATGGGCCACCATGCCAAGTACATTTGTACTTGTGGGTCACCATGCCAGAATGGTTGGAAATAACTTGTGTAGACAATCCCTCAGGGTCGCAGGTTCAAGGCTTTTTAGGGTCTTGTAGGTCAGAACAGATACCTTAGACTGGGCCCAGAGGCAAACTGAGAGAGAGGCAGTGTAATTTATTTATTTATTTATTTATTCTTTAGATTTGGATCCCGCCCACCCTGAAGGCTCAGGGCGGCTAACAAGGGCATAAATGCCAGATTAAAACAGTAAGAACAGTATAAAAATACAATAATACAACATAATACAGTTATTAAGAATATCGGTGCTCCAGTACTCACTCCGAATCATAAAACCAAGATGGTGTTCTGGAGATGTTATAACAGAACAACAGCAGTATATGTCCCCACAACCCTGTCATCCGCCAGGGACGTCTCGCACCCCCGATGATACTCGCACCAGTGGTGGTAGAGTGCGGTGATGGAAAAAGCGTTGGTGGACAGCGTAGTTGCTGTACAGAGGACGAATGTCCCTTGCACTTACTATATATAGAATAGACATGCATATCTCATAAACCTTAAGATATTCTGAATGAGAAGTCTAGGAATTTGGTGCTAAATTCTCTCCTATCTTTGGCAAATAATTTCTATATTGTAGGTCTATATTTCTGTAGTTGTTGGCAAATCCTTTCTAGTTGTAAGTATATTTCTATATACAGGATACTCAGTTGTAAAACTGGAATAGATAGTAATGTTTAAAATCATGGACTTTAGGCCAAAATGTTACTTTGGGCAATATGAATTCAATCTAAATTTACTATAAATGGAAACGGGGTTAGTTTATGTATCACACTTGAATTTCAGTTGGAAAGTACTGAAGATCTAGAAATACTGTAGGAAAAGTAAGCTGTAAAAATGAGCTAATGCTTTAAATCTTTTGATTATGGGTGTCACCGACTGCTGCCTCACTTGAAAGAGGGAAGAAAAATGGTACATAGGGACAGAGATAATGTATCTTGAAACAATGTACTGCGAGCGTGCATTGTGATAGATCAAAAGTCTGTAAATTAACACTTAAACCAGTACTATGGGAACCAGAAACCTGTAGCGTCTCACTTTTGCTAGTTTCCCACTCATTGTCATGTCATGTTCTATCACTTGGAAAGACCTGGGAAGGAAGTACAAAGGACGTGAATTCCACTACTGGTTCAAAATGTTCCAGGATGCTTGGAAAGTCTGAGAAATAGCTCTGGCAAGATCCCATTGATAGGATTCAATCACAATCAGGTCTGTTTCACTTCAACATTCTGAATAATCAGGATTTTGCATGTACACATGTATGCGCACACTCCTCACACACTGATTTTGGCAACCCCATTATTTTAACTTCAGATTTTAGCAGGTTTTGCAACCAAAGCAGAATGCTGAACACTTTTTGGGGGGAGAGGGGTTTTTGAGTGGCATAATCTTTTATATATTCATGGAACTATTTTTCCAGCATTTCCACTGGCTTTGCGAGAGACCTGATTTGTGACCAGGATTCTAATAAGATCTCTTTCAGACTTCTGGTACTAAAAGGCATTCAGAATGCATGTATGGTAGAATATTTATACGCTAAGTCTTTCTGTTTCTTTTCCTCCACTGATCTATGAAAGTTTACAGAACAGGATTTATATCAAACATGTATGAAAAATTGAGAGAGTTGTAAATGAACCGCAAAATGTGTCCCTTATATACCATAGCCTGTCACTCAGCATGGATTTATGCATTGCTTCATCCTTGGTACAGCGAATGTTCTCAGAGCGGCCCTGTCATTTTAGAACCTCGTAGCAGATCTAATGTGCCCTCTGAGCAATGAGACATTTTACAGAAAAACCCCTCCCCATTGCCAGTTATATGGAAAATAAGACATCTTGACTGAAAACAAAGATACGTTATAAAGTAAGTTCTGAAAACTTTGTTAATGTAGTTACAGGCACCAATTAATTGATACCCCAAATGTTCTTGAGGATTGCAGCTCTATCTTTAGTGATTATCCTTCAAAATTATGTATTGTGATAGAACATACCCCTGTTTTTTCTTAGACTGAGTAAGGAATGACTGTCATTTGAGCATCCTCTTGTGTATATAACGTTAAGCACCTGAATAAGCTGGGTTTTTTTACCATTATGATGGAATCTTATTAACAAGACTTGCTGACTTAATGAAATTTCCTTTAGAAGAAACATGCTTAGGATAGTGCTGTGAGCCATATAGATGGTCTTGCTTCCTTTGATAGAAGTGTATTTTTTAATATTTTATGTGTGTATATATATAGTTTGAGGTAGTCAGTTATTAGGACATAAAACATACGTTTCCATCCAGTGCATACAATCTATTATGGCCCCGGTCACACGTGCAGGAAACTGCGGGGGAGAAGCGTGGCTGTTTGCCCCGGGGCAAACTAACACGCAGTAAAGCGATCATACCTCCTGTGGAGGTTCTGTGGAGGTACCGTGGAGCTTCCGTGGTTACGGAGAGGCGTCGATCACAATACATGCCTGCGCGCAACGAAGAAGCGCGCGGCGCGGCGAACTGGGTTTCTTTTTTTGTGTACACTACGAATGCGCATGCTCCGTTGGGTGCGTGTGCGCAACCACGGAGACTTGGGGAAAAAAAACTTTCTTCGCAAGGGGACATGGGCGGGCGCCGGATGCCACCGGAAACGCGATCAGACGCCCGCCCTTGCCCCGCAGTTTCCGGAAACTAGTACCTCCGAGGTACTAGTTTTTTGCTGCGCGTTTTCGGGAGGAAGCCTCAGTTGTGCCACGGAAGCGCTACGCTCCCCAGATGTGCTGGTGAGATCGCGCCCGGAAACTCCGCCTGTCTTCCGTATCTCTTGCGTGGCTAATGTTGCGTGTGACCGCAGCCTATGTTTGCTTTTTAAATAAAATGTTACGCATCAGGTTGAACTTGCTAATCTTATTCATATTTGAGACGCTGTTTATGAATCACATAGCTAGAAGAGGAAAGTTCTTAGTGGAAATGATTTATGCCTTTTGCAGTTTGCGGGATCTTCAGCCAGCAGAGCCATGTTTTGGGATACGTTTATTGTCTCTGTGGTCTGATTTCCCTCCCTACATGGAACGATATGCATGGTAACCTGTCAGCTTGTTGCCATAATCTGCTGGTTTATGCATTACAAGTTGGGAGCATATTTACAGAGCTTATAGCGCATAAGCGAGTAGTTTGTCCTTGTAGAGTCCTCCTCCCAGGATTAGCAGTAGTTGGTGTTCTTCCCTCCCCCATATTTCTTAACGGGGTGCAAAACAAAGAACAGAAAAATACTCAGTATGGATAGAAAGAATCCTTCAGAGCAATCAAGTAAAACTGCTCCAAATCAGAAGTTTCATAAAATTATTTATTTATTTATTTATGCTTTCGGCTTGTATCCCGCTCGAACCCCGAGGGGTCTCTGAGCGGCTTACACAATTATTTGTTCCCTAACTAAGGCCACAATCATGAGGGGGGGTGACTTCCTACCAGCACCTGGCAGTGGGGCCTATTCATTGCTGATGTCTGGCTTTCTTCGGCGGCCTCAGACATTGGCGCTCTCCTTCCGTGTCCCGGGGCAGATCTTATTCCGATTCCGCGGTTCCTTCTCTCGGCGGGGCTCCTCCGGTGCGCGGCCCGTGGCCGCTGCAGCTCCGACTATTGTTCTTTTTGGCTCCGTCGCGCTACACCGCCGTGCTGCCGCACCTCCGTGACTCCGCCTCTGCCGGACTCACGCCGCACTCGCCAGACGCTCATCAGCCGCTCCAACACTCCACTCCGCCATTACTGTTCTATTGCAAAGACATGTATATATACACACACATGAAATTCAATATAGTATAATGACTCTGACCGGACCTGGATTGTCCAGGGTAGCCCGATTTCATCAGACCTTGAAAACTAAGCCGGGTTGGAAAACCCTATGGGGTTGCCATAAATTGGCTGCAACTTGATGGCACTTTACACACAGACATGTAATGACCCCATATAACAGCTATAGGAAAACCGTTTATCTCAGAGAATTAAAATCTAAGTAGGAGCAAACAGCTGAAGAGAACAAACCGGATCTTTTGTAGTACATATAAAAAAAGCAGGGGGGGAGGGTAAGACAGTAACTGAAATATTAAAGTGAAGGGAATGATTTACGAGTTGAGATGATCAGTTGCTTTTTCTTGGTGGAAGTTATGCCCAAGGACTTATATATACAAATGCTTGCATTAACTGGACGTTACATATATGCTGTTACCAGTTCAGTACTGATTTACAACACTGATTTGAGGGCCCTGGGGAGCCCAAAGCTTCCATACGCAGATGGCTGTGATTTTAACATTTTCCTATCTTTTCTTCTTAGGATGGCTCATACTTGGCAGAGTTCCTACTGGAAAAGGGCTATGAGGTGAGTGAGTAGACTTAGTGACTGATTGCAGACTCATGGAATAATTTTGAAAGAGCTTCCTTGCTGCTGTCTCGCGTTGCATATGTTTTCCACTCCGTCTTAGATAACAAATCAAGACTTTAGTTAAGAATGTGCAACATGGCCTGTAATCATGCCAGCTTATTGTATTATTTATCATAGACTGTCCAGTCCTCGGGGTATAGCCGTTCTTGCATACTTCCCACTTGCTCAGATAAACAGCCGTCTCTGTGAGACAGAGCTGCTCAGATAAACAGCAACTTGTGCAGGGCAATGCACAGAAAGTTAGTGAGTATATTATGATGCAATATATCGCATTAAGAAGCAAGAAAAATCCTGCTCTTTTTGAAATGGATAAACTTTCTTTGCAGAATTTGATGTAGGTTTGGAGGGATTTCATACTCAAATAAACTTGCTTTCCCGGTTATATATACAACTGATTAAACTAAAACAAATGTTCGAACTTGTAGTAAAATTAAGTAATGCGGATTTGAGCTGTCCTGAAATGCAGAAAAAAATCCTCAGTTGTTTGTTCAGAGAGCGAGTACACAGTTATTCTACACATACCATGTCGAGATGAACACTTGTATGTTTATGTGCCAAATTATTGAAAAATGCAGGTTGCTCATTTGTGTGACCCTCCTCAACTAAGCTGTATTATGTCCCCAAAAGGTTAATCCTTCTATTTATGAGGTCTCTTCCCACATTCTTTGGCATAGCCTTTCTTGAACTGCCATTGGCTTCCCTTTCCTGTTCTCTACGACTCTGTGGTTCTCCGCCATTCTCTCCTTACTTTTCAGTCTCTCGCTCTTTCTTCTTCTGTTTGACTTCTGGTTTGCCTGTTTGCACAGCACCTAGCACTGCTTAGTAGTAATAGTACCATGTTTCCCCGAAAATAAAACACTGTCTTATATTTATTTTTTCTCAAGAAGACACACTAGGGCTTATACCACAAATGCATAGAAATCCTGCTAGGGCTTATTTTTGGGGTAGGTCTTATTTTCGGGGAAACAGGGCAGTAGCAGTATCTGAAAGGTACGCATTTTATCATCTACTCTCCTTCTTTGTGTTTTTTTTAATGTAGAAAAATTCTGTTTCCTGTACAGTCATAATATTCACATTTGAACAAACATGAGTAAAAACTGTTGGGTGCACCCCCGTGACACGTTTGGAATGCAAATTTAAACTGTTTTCCTATGTGTATATAGTAGAGCCTTTAAGGATCTGTGGCCATAGTAAAGATGATATATTTGTTGCAGCAGAATTTTCTGCAGGCTAGAGACGTTTTTGTAGAATGAATCTGAGGGGCAGACTAAACTTGACGGTATCAATGACATAGGAGGTGCCTCATTGATGTTGAAAAGGAAGGTAATTAGTTTCTTTTTAGCAAAAGCGGAAAGTGGAAAAGCAGGGCGGAATCTGTGCCTGAAGCATAGTACTTGTAGCCCTCTTTCTTTGAATGCTTCCCCCCTCCTCCTAAGACTGTGGTATCAGAGCTTGGCTCAAAGAGAAAAGTGGTTGGAGAGGCAAGCTGAGAAGACAAGCCATGGGCACTCCTCCCCTTGTGCTGACAATTCTCTTTACTCCTCCCCTTGTGTTATTAACCGGTACCCACTTTGTAGGTTATGTCCACGCCTCTTCTTGTGGCAGGAGCTCCTTTGCATATTAGGCAGCTGTCGGGCCCTGGGAGAGCCCCAGGCCCTAGAGGACCGCTGGCCGTACTGACGAAGGATTTAGGAGAGAAGTGAAGGTCTCAGAAATGGAATAGGTTTGGAGTTTCTTCACTGCCAGAACCCTCTTCCTCAGGGTCAACAGCTGCTTTACCCAATCTCTCTCTGTATCCAAGCCAGTTGCCACCGACATCCTCCCCGACCCACTTCTGCTTCTCTCCTTTTATCTTCTCCTCCCTCCCTGTGATCCCACCCCCTTCTCTCCTCAGTGATTCCATTGCTCCCGTGACTTCACACTCACCTCAGCTGCTTTCCTTATAGGACCTTCCCCCCTTGGTCCCACCCACCTGGGTGTCCCCATGAGTCTCTTCCCAAAATGCTCTGTTTGAGGGCGTGGCTACTTTTGGCGAAGATGCATGGGCGAACGCCCGCATCTGTGGTGGCTCCGGCTCTCTTTCTTCCGGTAAGGTCTGGCGTTTCCATTTAGTGCACAGCCGCACCCGAGCGCGCCCTTCCTGCGTCTCCCGCCGGCAACTTGGGCCGGTCTCCTGCTTCCTCTCTGCTGTCTCTCCCTCTTCCCTCACTGACACGCGACCTCGGGACGTCCCCTCTCTCGGGGAAATTGGGGGTGGCAGCCCGGCGGTTTCTACGTGCCCGCCTTTGGTCCCTCCAGTGACTAGATGGCCCCCCATGCCCCCGTTGTTCTGTGAGCCTGACGCAGGTCCCGCCAGTCCCGCCGCAGCAGCCTCGGAGGCCACAGAGGATCCCATGGCGGGACAGCAACACACTCCTAATGTAACCAATCCTCCAAGAGCTTACAGTAGCCTCCGTAAGAAGAGCTCTTTAAGCTCTTGGAGGATTGGCTACATTAGGGGTGTGTCGCCTAATATGCAAAGGAGTTCCTGCTACAAAAAGAGCCCTGGCTTATGTCTACTTTTGCCCTGTCACTGCCATACAAATGTCAGTCTTTAAGTTGTCACATGATTTCTTTCATTTATTTTCCTTTTCATCTTTCTGAAATGCATCTGTATGGGTAGTAAATTGTAGCAGTTTCCCAGCAACTTTTAGCAACAAGTTGTCCAGCTGTAGTGTAAAGGACTAAGCCTTCTGCTTCATTCATTCTAGGTCCATGGAATTGTCCGTAGATCTAGCTCTTTTAACACTGGACGGATTGAACATCTCTACAAGAATCCACAAGCTCATATAGAAGGAAGTAAGACTTTGCTGAAGTTTTACGGAAGGGATAATGTTGCATGTTTGTTAGTGTGGGAACATTGTATAGTTTGAAGGTTTGTGCAGGCTTGTGTAAGGTTGAATTCTGGACACGAAAAAATATTTTTAGGCCAGTTGTGTAGCTTTCAGCTCTGACGATAATGGTGATGTCCTAAAGACACTTCCATGGTTGAATAAAGGGAAGTTCAGATGTACTTTCTCAGTCATGTAAATTGTTCTGACCTTCTCTTGCATACGCAAAGTGGAAACATGGGTCTGGTGATCAGACAGTGGCTTGTACTACTTATTAGCTGTTTCAGCAGAACATCCTGTAACCCTTCTGAGTGCTGTTATTTATGTTAGAAATCTATGCATGTTACCCCCTCTGATGTACTCTTTTAACATCCTGCATTGGGTCCTGGGAGAAAAATGGGTATTTAAGTATTTTAAATGAATAAATAAGAGATCAGTAATAGACTGTGAGTAAATTTCTGTGGTAACGTTGTAGACTGGGGTCCCCAACTTTTTTGAGCGTGTGTGCACCTTCAGAATTCGGACACAGGGTGGTGAGTGCAACCAAAAAATGGCTGCCAGAGGGGGCGGAGCCACATACCCACATGTAGAGGCCCAAATTACAATGTAGAGGCCCAAATTACATTGTAGAGGCCCAAATTATAAGAGGGGTAATTAAAAAAATACACTGGGAAAGAGGAGTGAGTGACAGAATAAAACCAACGTGGTGTTGGCAGCTGCCACTGAAATGTTACTTTAGTCTGCATAGCCGATCTGATCCAACCAATCAGAATCTGAGCTGGAAAGAGCCCCTCCCACTTTCTAAAAGAGTTGGTGGCCGCCATGGTGTTCACAGGCATCATGTTGGGGACCCTGTCGTAGATGGAAAACAGCAGTTAGTGAATATGGTGAATAATATTAATGACAGAATGTTTCAGGATATAGGCTTTTCTATTTTTTAAAAAATGAGTTGGATCCTGCAGACCAAGTGCAATTACACTTGTGGACATGGTTCTTTATTGTTAAGTGGTTACTTGGAGATAATTAGAACTAACTGCATGATCACGAAAGAATGACCGACCTTAGCCAAGAATGATGGTGGCAGCAGTGAGGAATGAGTGTAGTAATGTGGTGGCAGAAAAACACCTTGAACCACTATGTCTGGCATAGTATTTTAAATGAACAATTTAAGCTCATGGGGCACTGCATTTTGATCAGACATAAATATTGTATGAAAAACTCCAATGTCAAATCTCCTTGATTCTAACTTGGTGTTCTTTGTCTGAAGACATGAAGCTGCATTATGGAGATCTCACAGATAGCACTTGTCTGGTGAAGATAATTAATGAAGTTAAGCCTACAGAAATTTACAACCTTGGAGCACAAAGCCATGTCAAAGTGAGTAACAGTCATGAACTATGTTTTCTACAGTGGCAGCAAAGGTATGGAAACTTGTTGGGGGGGGAGATGCAGTTTATGTATTTTGTTTCTCCTTTTTTTCTTTTTGTTAATCCCTCCCTTTCATTCTATTACTGAAAACTGAATGCAGTAGGTCGAATCCACTCGTTCCTTTTCACTATCTTCGCTTGCAAAAAGGGAACTATTGGATCCAATCCAGTAGTTTTTCTTTATTTTAGACATTCCTGTTTATGACTTCATGCAAGACATTACTTATTTTAAATCCTTTTTTGTAACTCTTTTTAGCATTTAAACTTATTTATACTTTCTAATCAGTTGGTACTTTCTAATCAGTTATCCTTTAGTTTTATTTTCTTTTTCAAATACCACTAAGATATAAGAAATATTCTCATTCTACTCTGAACAGCATTTAATAGTTTGTGACTTAACTGGAAATGAACAGTGGGTTGGATCCAAGCAGCTTTTCCATTGGTGAAAGAGGAGGGGGGAGCCCCCTTTATTTATTTATTTAATTTTATTTATACCCCGCCCTCCCCGCATTGCGGGCTCAGGGCGGCTTACAAGAGTATGGCACACAGTGCAATAAAACAGCAATAAAACAATTTAAAACACTTAATACATGGGCCAAGCCCAAGGATCCCACGTGGCTAAAACCCTCTCTCCCTACTGCACAGCCCTTTCATCCCAGGGGAGGTTACTGTGGCCTCCTGATGTTGTTTGCCACATTAGCTTCCGGCGGTGCTGTAAACAGGCCCCATTGGTGGTAGTGGTAGCGGCGGCGGCTACCCAAAAGGCTATGCTGAGATCATGGGAGCTGTCTGCACAAAAAGCCTTTTGAAATGGAAGCTGTAGGAAGGAGGGGAATTGAGTGAAATTGAATTAAAAATCTGGCTGGATCCAACTATGACGGACACCTGCTTGTTTGGTTCTGTGAGGTAGCTTTTTCCACCAAAACAAAACTGCCAAAATGCTACTCCCCACTCTGTGACTGAGCAGCCCCCTTGTAGCATGTGAATTTATAATGTTCTGTGTGTCCCACCTTGTGATAGCGAAGTTATTTGGTTTGCCCAGGCCAGAGATTTATGGTAGAAAAACAGGAAAATAGCACAACACAAAATAAAGTTTAAACAGTTGGGTTAGGAATAGGCAGGGGACAAGAAAATTGAGGTAGATTTTGTAGTATTTGCAGTTGATAATATTTTGCACTGGCAACAGAGTATTGTTGAAGCTTATTTTCTTAGAGTCCGTTCTTAACAGTGAGAGGTTTGTTCATCTTGGAGATTTCTTATCAGTAACGGTGTGTCTTAATAAAGATTCATACAACTGTCTTAGTTTCCTGGAGGGTCGTACTTTTTTCCTGTACTTAATTCCCTCCGTTGTGGGATTAGAGAGCACTCTTTGACTCTAGAGGAGTCTGACCATTCACTTTCTCACACCAACCAGGGGTCCGTTCTGAATTGATCCCACTGAATAACTGAGAAGGAAATATTCTCTGTGTCCTAGAAGCAATATCCCTTTTCTATTTGGCTTGACTGGTAGTTTCAACCCACTGGTAGTTTCAACCTACTGACCAATCTATTATGCCAAACTTGATCGACTGTGAATAAATGGTTTCCAGCTTGGCTGACTCTTAAACTAAAGTTCCCTAGTCAGGGATTTCTATGTAGATGATCACATTGAGAGTGACCACTTTCCATTAATCGTTGTCCTTGAATATAAGTGCTCCAGAATATCGCCATCTATGAACACATCTGAGAACCTATCTTCCTATAAAAGGGTTAACTGGAATCAGAAGGTAGATGAGGAGACCACTAAGGTAATCAACTCAGAAACGTATCTGAACCAACAACTAATTAATGTCCAGAATGTGTCTGAGGCCCTTGGTCAATTCAGGGAATTTATTAATATCATTAAAACTGTCTTTGTCTGGAGATTTACTGCCTGCAGACAAAAATACTCAAGACATAAATTAGATTATTTAGTTGACAGCAACTGTTGGAAATTGAAAACCCGAGTTCGGACTCTCTTTCATTTTCATCATGACACAGGTGCAATTTCACAACCTGCCAGTTATTTTGCTTTTTAAAAACAATTTCAGCACACTGTCACTCTCAAGAAGAGATCGCTGCTGAATAAAAAATGGGATCTCCTAATCAATGCCTCGCTAACTAATAATAATAAAAATAAACAGTTTTGGTCTCTAGTTGCAGGCATCCTCTCTGACCGAATTCGCACTCTCAATTCTCTAGTCTGTCCCCAGGTATGGATTGCCCATTTTTCAGATCTATTCTGTGATCCATCAGTTTGGACCACCAAAATATCATCCTTCAGGATTTCCCCAGATGGCCCTCTATCACTCCAAAGGAAATTAAATCTCTAATCAACTGCAAAATGGAAAAGCCCCAGGCCCTGAAGGTCTTCCCTCTGAATTATTTAAGACACATCTGGAATGGTGAGCCTCTTCTTTAGCTACCCTCTTTACCCTCATTGACAAAACCAGAAGGATACCCGAATCCTGGACTAAGGCTATAGTGGTCCCAATTTTTTAAAAAGGTGACCCCCCAAATCCCTGGGAATTATCACTCAATTAGCCTTCCCTTGATTGTTGGCAAACTCTATGTGAACCACCTGCTGGATAAACTATCCTCTTGGCTTTGTGACCAAATATTTTGGGGCCTGAGCAGATCAGATTCTGCTCTGATAGATTAATGTTTGATCATTGTATTACACTTTCCCACTTAGTGGAGAAATATAGAAGTCCTGGGGGGGACAATTGTACTGTGTTTTCATAAACTTGAAGGGGGCCTTGACTTGATATCCAGAAGTTTATTATGGAGCAAATTGGATAAGGTTCTCAAGGACAAGAGACTACTAAACTACATTCTTTAACTAGCTTCCAGGTGCGCTACAGTGGCCTGGGTGATTTAACCAGCGAGATCCCTACCACCTGGGGGAGGGTCAAACAAGGATGTGTATTGGCTCCTTACTTGTTCAATCTCTCTATAAACAACCTAGTACCTACCTTATGGACCGTGAATGACCATTTTCCAAAACTTGCCCCCCACAACATTCCTATGCTACGCTATGTAGATGATGCCGTGGTGCTATCCTACACCCAACTGGGCCTCAAGTGTCTTTTGACTATATTTGTAGACATTTGTGATTCCAACCTACTCCTTGTCAATTTTGGAAAATCAAAAATCTTGTTCAACCCTTGGTTGGAATATAAGGGACAACTTTATTGAACAAGTGAAATCCTGTAGATATCTAGAGGTCACCTTTCAATGCAACAATAAATGGACAAATACCACCAAAATCAAGCCCTTAAGCTGGCGAAGTGTAGTGTCTTGGCTGTGGTCCACTACTTTTATGCCCACAGAGGCCAATATGTCCCCGCTGTTATTCATGTCTTTAATTCTAGACCCGCAGCCCAACTGCTCTATAGAATTCTTATTTGGATTAGTGGTTTTAATCAGAGAATTGAGATGATTCAAGCATTATTCCTATGTCGTACCCTTGGTATTTCAAATTGTGTTGGATACGTCTGGAGACTGTGTCTCTTAAAAACAAGGCCCTGGCTCCAGAGCTTAAAGTTCTGACTGCACATCCATTTTTATCAGAATACATTCGTTATGTATACACTATGCTCTTGGATACTTACTCTAGCAATTGGTTGTATCAAATTTTAAGGAAAATTTAAATCAATTGGAGTACCTCTTGATTCGATCTATATGCTTGGGAGACATCAAGCCTTTTGCTTGCTGTGAGAGACGTTAAGGGATATTGATAGGCAGTCCCTATATGCAGTAGCAAATAGAACTCGCTCTCTCTTGACAGATATTGCCCCTGACTATGGGACTTTGGCTGCCTATTCCTTCCATCTCAGAGCTCCTCAAATCCTCATGGCCTTCATACTAGCTTGGTTTGACATCTTGCAGTTCTCTATGGCAGATATTTGCGAACACCTCACGCGAAAAGGCTCTGGCCATGCCGGACTGGAGTCCCTGAAACTGTATCTCATGTTTTACTTTACTGTCACCATCATCTTGAGCAGAGGGATCTTTTATTTAGCTGTCTCATTCATAATTTCATAGGTCACCCTGACAAGTGGCTTGTCTCTAACCTTTTATCTGATCAAAATTCCTTTATCACTGTCAGGTCGCTAAGTTTCTTTTAAATTTTCTGAGGTCATGAGAACTGGGGAAAAAATCCAGATAATTTATTTTATAGTTTGTTATATTATCTTAGTTATTCCAACTTCCCGGCCCTTTTTAACCTTATTCTATCATTTTATATATGATTGTAATTAATGCCTAATAAAAGTACTGATTGACTGACTGACTGGCATTATTTATTGGGCGTCCCATCCTGTTGATTCTATTGACTTACTCTGTGTAATCCAACTTGAGTCCTTGTGAGATAGACTATAAATAGCATAAATAAAGAATAAAACCCAGCCAATACTTCGGCTTGCAACTTCCTTGCAATGCTTGTAGATAGTTGACTCTAACTTGATCTTCCCTCTAGTCCTACTTTCTATCTGGCCCATTAAACAGACTTACCTGTACTTCTTCAAACCCCTTCTTGAGTTATCTGCAGTCCTTCAGCTGCCTTGCTTTCACCCTCTCATTCGTCAAGCTCTTGGAAGACCTTAGCTGGAAGTTCACTTCTTTCTGTAGATCTTCTGCATTTCAACTGTTTCCAGCTGTATTCCAGTTTCTGCCAGACACCCCTCTGCTCCCTGTCTCCTAGAGTTCTCTTCTCCTGATACCCCTGCTGAGGAATGTGCAAGCCAATTAACTGCTGACACTTATCAGTCCTGGTTGTAATTGGTCCATACTTCCTAAATTCCCAGTCCTCCTCCCATTGTCCTACCGAGGCCCCGGTCACACAGCAAAGTTGCCGCGGGAGAGGCACGGATGGTGGGCGGATTATCCAGGTGCGTTCACACCCCAACATCTGGGAAGTGGAGCACACCC